AATAACATACGATCTTCAACTTTTTTCGAAATTCCAAAATCCGATATTTTGATTATTCCTTTATTATCCACTTTTATAGACAAGTTACTGTGATTAATAATTTTACAATATAAAAAATCTTATTAAGCAAAAGCAAAGATAGAATTTACCCAAAACATTAGCGCCTTTAATATCTCTATGTATAATGTCTTTTTCGTGCAAATAATTCAGTCCTTGTAAAATTTGCCTAACAAATGATCGAATTAATGGCTCTTCTAATGGGCCATAATTATTAAGCATTGTGGCTACTGATCCGCCAGGTACATATTCCAAGAAAATGTTAAATGTTCCTTCTTCATACTGTGAGCCTAAGAAATATGTGAAAATATTGTACAATCTTATTTTCTTTACAAATAGAGTGGATTAAACAGAAAGAATTATTTCTTACCGAGATATTGTACAATGTTCTCATGCTGCAACTCTTCTAAGAGTGTAATCTCTCTTTGCAGAGCATCCAACTGTAAAAATAGTCATAATAATTAGAATAATTATGTATAAACAATCCGTTATTAAATAAAGGAAATTATTATACCAACCATTGTTTTCTTACGTTCATTATTTGAGGAATTTTCGGTAGGTAATTCCACTTGCTTAACAGCCATTAATTCTCCAGTAAAAGCATTAAGTCCAAGATATACGCTACCAAAAGAACCCATGCCTATAAAATTGCCTTTTATCCACTTCTTTGAAAAATGGTCGACTACAAAAATCATATATATGAAATTATTTGTGTTACTAAATATAATGGAATGAATATTATGTTATTCACTTACCATCTATTATTTCTGGATCAGATACCAAATCTTCTTCGTCCTCATAATCAAAATCTTGGAAGTAATCACCATCTTCCTCTTGTTGTTCTTGAATGGTTGTATCGGAACTTTCCTCCTGTTGCTCTTGAATGGTTGTATCGGAACTTATTGAAGTTTCCATTAATATACTTAATCTATCATCACCATAATTAGAAACAGTAACAGTATTTGATCTATCATTATTATAACCATCGTCAAATTCAGATGTGCGTTTTGATCTATCACTGTTATAATCGTTATAATCATCGTCTAATTTAGATGTACGTTTTGATATAGTACTATCATAATCATCGTCTAATTTAGATGTACGTTTTGATATAATACTATCATAATCATCGTCTAATTTAGATGTAGGTTTTGATATAATACTATCATAATCATCGTCTAATTTAGATGTACGTTTTGACATAACACTATTATAATCATCGTCTAATTTAGATGTGCGTTTTGATCTAATACTATTATAATCATCGTCTAATTTAGATGTACGCTTTGATCTAATACTATTATTATCATCGTCTAATTTAGATGTACGCTTTGATTTTTGTATTGAAAGTTTAGAGGCCGAAGAAACTCTTGATGCTCTTCTATAAATCGTGTTTCTATAAATGGAGTTTCTATAAATGGAATTTCTAGCAACACTACGTTCAAGTTCTTCGCTATTATGACCAGGAAAGTATTCCGTCAAATTTAATTGAATTAATTCAGAAGGAGGACGTTGACCAAAGAAATCTCTTAATTTTTTTTTAGAGACTCCAACTTGTGGACCATCTGGTGGTCTTTCTCCAAAAAATTTTTCTAAATCTTTTTTTTGTTTTTTTGAATTCTCATAACTCATTTTTAGAAGATGTTTCTTTCGTAAAGTGAGCCTTTCACGTTCTGGTCTATCGGAACTTCTACATATTTCAACTATTTCTTCATCACTTAAACTTCGTGCTGTAAAGTAAGTTTAATGTCATTTTTAACTAAATATTAATAATTTAAATTGAATAAAACTACAAATACGTACTTTCGCCAATATCACTCAGATTGGCAAATAATGAATAATTTTCAACGTCTTCATTAATATTAAATTTTTGTAAAATACGTTTTAAAATCGACTCTGCGTCAACGATATTATTTAGTGAAATAGTTCGTGTTTGGCCTTCTTCACCATAAACTTTAATAGTGCTCTAGAATGAGTAAAAGAAATTATCATTAGGAATTATTGTTTAAATTTTAGACAATGACTTATTTTTTTTTCGAAAAAAAAAAAAACTAAAATTGCCTGCTTGATACTCTCAATAGGAATTACGAGAATTTCCTGTTGCTAAATTAACAATACAATTTAGTTCAAAATTCTTATTATTGTATTATTTATAAAATAAATTTTATAGCATTTACGGAAGGTAAACTTGGAGAATATCCACGATTAGTAGAATTTGATCTTGTGCGCGAGCGAACATTTGAATTTGATCTCGAGAGAGAAATTGGAAACTTGTCAGTTTCAGGCGAATTTGGTTCCTAAAGAATATATATATATAAAATATAAATCAAAATAATATGGTTAACCGTATATGAGGAATAAACAAAAATTAAGAAACAAACCTTAGCATATTTAACTATGGAATGATAAGGTAGATTATTCCCTGCACAAATTTTCAGTAAGGTCCTTACAGCATTCAAGAGTCTGAGTCGATCACCAATAGACCTGATTTTTAATTCTTTCAAAATTTCATGATCAAGTTCTAAAAGTACATCTCCATTAATATCATTTTCTAATGAAAAACACAATTTAGTACTCAAATTTTTAATTTTAGTTCACAAAAATAAATAAATTTTTGTATTAAAGAAATTAATACCAGCAAAGAGCTTTTGATATTCCCTAAAACTATTTTCTTGCAACCAATTAGAAACTTGATCAACTTTCCATTGCCTAACACTTTCAAAGGTAATATCCATTGAAGATATTGTGAAAACTTGTATTGTTCATCAGATGTACGGATGTTTAAAGGATTTACAGATTTATAACTTTACAAACTTTGAATGTATACACAAATTCCAAAAATATTGGCCTGATGATCGTACGT